AATAATCCCAGCTACTTGTAATAATAATAATAATAATAATAAAATAAAAAAATTAGCCAGGTGTGGTGGCACATGCCAATAATCCCAGCTACTTGGGAGGCTGAGGCAGACGGATCACTTGAACCTGGGAGGTGGAGGCTGCAGCGAGCCAAGATCGTGCCACTGTACTTCAGCCTGGGCAACAGAGTGAGACTCTGGTCTCAAAAAAATAAAATAAAATATTACATAGGGTAAAAAGAAAAACTAGAAGAAAATGAATGAAAATAGCAATAATAATTATCTACACATTGTAGAATAAGGATCAGCTCCATTTCTGCACGTTTGTCTCTTTTCAACTTACCTAAATTAAACCTGCATTATTGATGTGGTTAGAAATAAAGGCCAGGTACAGTGCCTCACGCTTATAATCCCAGCAGTTTGGGAGGCTGAGGCGGAAGGAGCGCCTGAGCCCAGGAGTTTGAGATCAACCTAGGCAACATAGTGAGACCTCATCTCTACAAAAACAAAAAATTAGCTGGGTGTGCAGCATGCACCTGTAGTTTTAGCCATTTAATACTTGGGAGGCAGGGGTGGGAGGATCACTGGAACTCAGGAAGTCAGGGCTACAGTGGACTATGAATACGCCACTGCACTGAGACCCTGTCTCAAAACAAAAAAACAAATAATTAAAAAGAAAAAAAAGAGAAATCCTTCAGCTGAATTCTCATATTAGCTTACATTTTTATCATTTAATTAAAGAACTTGTTGTAATTTTTGAACCAAGGTATAACTAATATAACAATTTTTAAAGTACTTCACTTTTTTTCTCAACACTTACTCTATTTCAAATATTTTTAATATTTCTTATCATCTTGGGCTCTTCTCACAGAGTAAAGGTCTATATTTCACATGTGTAACTGGGATAATGTTGCTAAATGTTGTTTGTAAATTAAATTTAACAGTGTATCAGGAACACATACATATATACAAAATTACTTGAATTTATAGTATATAAAGCAATTACTCAACAAACCTATGAAGGATATTCATAACTTTCCAATCGCCAGTAACACCACTAGTCATCCGAATCTTTTGTGCAATGCTAGAGACAGCTGCAAGAATTGCTGCTCCATCATTTCTTTGGAGTGCAGAACTGCCTAAAACCACCATTGGTTTTTTAGCCTCCTTTAGGACCTATTTAAAAAAAAAAAAAAAAAAAACTGTGATTTTAAAATATTACAAGTAAGCTGAACATCTAACCACATTTGCCTCAACAATATACGTTGTCCTAATTCTTAGGTCTAACATGAAGGTTTTCAATTTGCTAGCCCAACACATAGACACACATATACAACCAGATTTAGTTTAATCCAAAGCATCTTGCCAATGCTACTGTGAAATGCCTGAGTGTGTATCAGCTAAGACATGTTTTCTAAAAGTAATTATTCAAAATAAAAAGCTTAGCAAATTATCCTGCGGTCAGAATAACTATGGGCAGGTTCCAGAAAAACTGGGGAACTTCTCTTCAGAGATTCAGATGGTATTAAAGAATAGGAAAAACCATGCTTAATATCACGTCTACTATCTTCCATCTACTTACCATGCCACAGACAGGGAGGAGGAGGCAGGGAAAGCAATGATCACTAGAGCACAATGTTAAATACCTACAATTTTAAGCCTTTGTTTTAAACCATAGTAACTCTGAAGGACAAAAACTGGGAGAATGCATCCCAAGAGTAAAGGAAACTACAGATTTCACAGAAGATGGCAAATAAGATGTAAAGTTATAGGTTGGGTGCGGTGGTTCACGCCTGTAATCCCAACACTTTGGGAGGCTGAGGTGGGTGGATCACTTGAGGACAGGAGTTTGAGACCAGCCTGGCCAACATGGAGAAACCCCGTCTCTACTAAAAATACAAAAAAATTTACCAGGTGCGGTGGTATGTACCTGTAGCCCCAGCTACTCAGGAGGCTGAGGCACGATAATTGCTTGAACCTGGGAGACGGAGGCTGTAGTGAGCCAAGATTGTGCCATTGTGCTCCAGCCTGGGCAACAGAGTGAGACTGTTGACGAAACAAAACAAAACGTGTAGAGTTATAGAATACACATCTCATTTTCCCACTCATCCTTTGTGTCACTCTTCAGTAAATAGCTGGCCACAAAGAATCAGCATGGAAATTATGCTGAGATATTATAAAGAGGAATACATTAATAGGAACTTGCCAAGGAAATGTGAATAGTTGAGAGAAATAGTTTTTAACAGTCTCAAAGATACTGAAATATAACACACTCTTTCTCACTTGAAAACTCAAAGAAGCAACACTACAGAGAATATTATATCATAAGGAGATTTTCATCACCGAATTCAGGAAAGAACTGGAAGAGAAACAAATAATAGAGATAAATACCAGTCCAGAAACAAAAAACTAAATAGGCCAGGTGCAGTGGCTCACGCTTGTAATCGCAACACTTTGGGAGGACAAAGTGGGTGGATGACTTGAGTCCACGGGTTCAAGTGCAGCCTGGGCAACGTGGCAAAACCTCGTCTCTACAAAAAATTGGCCAGGCATGGTGGTGTGCACCTGTGGTCCCAGTGGCGGCTGCAGTGAGCCAAGACAGCACCATTGCACTCCAGCATGGGTGATAGCCAGACCATCTCAAAAACAAAAAACAAAAAAACAAAAAACAAAAAGAAAGGAAAAGAAAGAAAACATGATTAAATACAGGGACAGGAAAGACAGGGTACAGGATACAAAATAAATGGAAAAAGAAAAAAAACACAGATATGAAAAGCCAGGCAAGGTTGGCTCATGCTTGTAATCCCAACACTTTAGGAGGCTGAGGTGGGAGAATCACTTGAGGCCAGGAGTTTGAGGCCAGACTGGGCATCACAATAAGCCCCATCTATACAAAAAAATATAAAAATTAGCTGGGCACGGTGGTGTAGGCATGCAGACCCAGCTACAGGGGAGGCTTAGGTGGGAGGACTGCTTAAGCCCAGGAGTTTGAGGCTACAGTCAGCTACAATTCTGCCATTGCACTACAGCCTAGGCAATAGAGTGAGACCTTAAAAATATATATATAGAAAAGAAGATTCAACATCTGCATTGTTAAGAGTTCTTTTTTTTTTTCTTTTTAGACAGGGACTTACTCTGTTGCCCAGGCTGGAGCATAGTGGCATGATCTCAGTTCACTGTAGCCTCCACCTCCCAGGTTCAAGCTATTATTTTGCCTCAGCCTCCCGAGTAGCTGGGATTACTGGCACGTGCCACCATGCCCAGCTAGTTCGTTTTTTTTTTTGTATTTTTTAGTGGAGACAGGGTTTCACCGTGTTACCCAGGCTGGTCTTGCTCCTGACTTCAGGTGATTTGCCTGCCTTGGGCTCCCAAAGTGCTGGGATTACAGGTGTGAGCCACCACATTAAGAGTTCTTTTTTGTTTGTTTGTTTGTTTGTTTGTTTTGAGACGGAGTCTCGCTCTGTCGCCCAGGCTGGAGTGCAGTGGCCGGATCTCAGCTCACTGTAAGCTCCGCCTCCCGGGTTCACGCCATTCTCCTGCCTAAGCCTCCCGAGTAGCTGGGACTACAGGCATCCGCCACATCGCCCGGCTGGTTTTTTGTATTTTTTAGTAGAGACGGGGTTTCACCG